TTGAATAACCAAAACCCACCCATTCCCCATCTCTTTGGAACATAGATGTCATTATCCAGACTACATCCTCTTTTCTATGTGCACTAGTATCTTTGGGTGAACCTTGAAAAAATCAGTATAATTTTTTTAAGTCTTCACTGGAGTAGTTTTTAAGGTTGGACCATATCAGCCAGCAACCTTGAAGATATTTTAGATTAAGAATTCTAAGGAGACTGTAACAGGCACTTCAAATGTTAGATCACCTGGGCCATCTATTTTCATTGGTGTCTAGTCTCCTTGTTCTGAAGAATCAAAAAATTTTAAAGGTAACACACATTTCTGTATTAATATGAGTATAGAATGTATGTTGTACAGAAGTAAGCTAAAGATAATTTTTTGTTTTATGTTTGAGCAGGCAAAATATACATTACATGTTTTGAAGTTTTTCTAGTTTCTTTATTTATGTCTATAGACAGGATTTTTAGGGATTCTTCCTTGATTAAACCTGATCCATATCAACCTGGAATGCACCCATAGATTCTCATTTACTGAGGAAATAAAACTATAACCTCTTCAACAGAGCAATACATGCTTTGATTTCCATTTTGAAGTCAAGATATTTTTAAAGTATATAGGCTAGTTTAATATAGCAGCTTTCATAATCCAGTGTCTCTTAGAAGCCAAAAAATTGAAAAACAACACAATAACATACAGGATCAAGACTCCTTGTGTATTTTCCATCTCTTCATGACATATATATATATATATATATATATATATATATATATATATATACAATATTAAAGTTTTATATATATATAACTATTTTTTTCAAGATTTTTCTTTGCTATTTTTAAACTGTTTTTATTTTATGATGATGTATATATTTTTTTCTCTCCCAATCCTATGTATATTTTGAAACACACTTCAATTTGTCTAGAGGTTTTCTTCCATCTGGATCTGTCTTTACTGAGCATCTGTATTGTTCTTTGACCACATGAGATGAATCTTAAACTGCCATGTTAGTCACTATCAGGCTCAGCTTAGTGCACGCCTTAGTGAGTGGCATTGGCAGCCAGCTCCTCCACACTTGGTTCCTTAAGAGCCTAGCTTTATGGTGGAGCTATTGGTAGGAGCCACATTACTGCCCCAGCTCTGGGAAGATGTTGGATCCACTCTGCCACCAAGCAGCTTGCTTCCTACTGCTTATAAACCCCATTTAAGTGTTCAGTAGCAGGGCCTCTTAAAAGAGCCAGGCTGGGTTTGCTGCTAGCACCTAGTCAAGGAAGCTACCTTTTTTTTTTTTTTTTAAGGAGCTGAGCCTCTGCTTGTTGCTAACACAATAGCCTACCTGATAAAAGACAGTTATCTAATCAGCAATCCATTTTTGGCTCCATTTTTGTGTGCTTGGAATCTTTTTTTAAGCTTTGTTGGGTCTTATGTGGAAATTCCAGCCCTACATTTGAATGCCTTTTGTATGTGAACATTTCTATCCTGTCAGCCAGTTCCCAAATAACCACACAAAGATTTATGATTAATTATTATAAATGCTTGACTGATAGTTCAGTCTTGTTACTAACTCTTACACGTTAAATCAACCCTTATTTTTTTTATCTACACTCTGCCATGTACATTGGTACCTTTTCTTAGTACAACAAGTTTATTACCTGCTTCCTCTGCATCTCTTTGTGACTTTCCAGACTCTTCCTCTTCTACTTTGCTCTCTCTTTTTGTCTGCCAGTTCTGCCTGACCTCTACTGTCCAGCAATTGGTCATTCAGCTTCCTAATTAAAACAATCACAGTGGCATATATTCACAGTGTGAAAGAATATTCCACACTACATGATTTTATTTCATGTATCCCCAATGTATGAAATAATATCTGTGAATAGGGACAGAATGTATTTGTAGGACTTCACACACTTTCCACATTTTTGCATCTATGTTTAATAAGCCTTCTTTTTGCCAATCTTTCCTTATTTCTTGATAGCAAGATGTGGGATGAATGTTTGTGTTTTGACAACTGTTTTTCTGACTGTATTTGCATTATTCATTTTTCTCTGAGCACACAGAGTGAGGTACACTCAAAGCTTTGGCTTTCCATACCTTTTTTTTTTTTTCTAAATGCACTAGCATTTACACTGATCACCCTTGTAATTAGTACTCTAGGCTCTGACTTGGTCTATTACACTTCTCTCCAGCAGAGGGCAATACTAAAATATGTTTATCTGGGTTTATCCAATCCTTGGTCATTGCTGCTTGGTCTTTGAGGAAAATTGCATCAGAATTTTATTTATTTGTGTGTACTTGCACTTAAATTTACAATCTAAGGAGTTAGATGTGACATCCTGATGACCCAGTCTCCATCCTCCCTGTTGGTATCTCTAGGACACAGTTATATTCACATGTCAGGCAATTCAGAATACTAATATTTACTTTTGCTGATATCAGAAGAATTCAGGGAATGTTCCAGAGATCTTATCTGTGATGCATTCCATCTTGGGTTCCCATCAGGGTTTTTTTTTGGCAATGATTCTCAAATAAATTTGGCCTTCACCATCAGAACCTGGTGCATGAAAATGCTGCAACTTACTAGTGGCAACAAAGCTATAATGCCCTCCCACAGTGCTTCAATTGTTCTTCCTGGTCTCCCACCTCCTGACAGCTTCTCTCATATGTGGTCAGGTTTTGAAGATTACTGAGAAGTTTTGGAGGAAAGGCCCCAGGAAACTGATGTTTACATAGATTTGCATACTTAAATCTCAACCCACAAAGGACATATATGATAATGTCTCTAATGATTCTCTAAGAAGAGAAGTTTTTCACTTAAATTATCTAGGTGAGCATGGGGTGTGATCTATACAGGAAAATAAAAGCCACTATATACATTCATGTAGCAATCATTTCAAGACATGCAATGGGAATCCAAGTAACACCTGTGATTTTACTTGCAAGGTTTTAGTATCATGAAAATTTCTACTAGAATCATTGGATTCCCTGGTGCTATTCTGAACTCAGAGCTCCCTACTTTGAATGAGCAGAGTGCCTAAACATGTTGTCTTTAGACCTCCTCAGGCAGCCTATTATTGATTGAGTATTGGCAATAAAAAGCCAACTGTAGTTCCTGTCATAGAATGATATGAATGTTGATGATGAGGGAAATATTTATAACATGTATGTGCATCCTTTGAGGTATTGTCAGCAAGATTCAGACTGATAAAAAGAGAAACTTTATAAATTCACAGAGCAGATTGAAACTAAGCAATTTCATTAACTGTGTAGAAGTCTTTTGGGAACTTAATGAATAGATGGGTTATACAAAAATGAAGTTATAATTCTATTTTCTCTCACTAGAGGAAAATTTTCCTGTGATCTATTTTGATGCATCCAAAATTTTATTCAGAGTTAAAGTGAATTAGAGAACAGATACACTGCAATAGCATATTATCCCCTGAATGAAATTTCCTCAGTAGATAATTCTTGGAGCTTCTGCTTGTCATCCAGAAGAAGGAGGTGTTGTTTGCTGTGAGATCTATTGTGCATGATTTTCAGTTTTGATTGATATGCTTTGTTCAATGTGTATATCTTTTTCACTGATGTATCTGATTGCAACTATATGTGTGGTAGATCATGCATATGTGTAAGATAATAAACAAGAAGATATACATAAAGTGTTATTTTAAGGACACTGTTAGCTGTGCAAAGCCAGTTGTAGCCTGAATTGGTTGACAAAAGATACTTAATCATATTTTTCTAGGTAGATTTGGCCATGCTAAAGGCTGCTATGATGATGTCATATGTTGGAATGATCTGATTGCTTTGTTGGAAAGTGGTGTGGATGCACCTTGATGACATGATTGTGCAATTGCCAGTCAGCTTTCTTCCTCTCTATGCATCCTGCTTGCAGATAAATGTATAAGCTCTAACTATTATTCTAGGGCTATGTCTTCCTGCTTGATGCCTGCTTCCTACCATGTTGGTCATGGACCAACCTTCCAAAACAGTAAACTCCCAAATTAAATGCTTCCTTTTATAAATTGTCTTTGTTGTGGTGTTTTGTCATATCAATAGAATGGTAACCAAGACTAGTAAGGAGAGAAATAAATAAATACTTCATAGAGGAAAGCCTCCATTCCTTCATGCATATGACATGAGAATTGACAAGCTGTTTGAGGACCCTTTGGTCAGGAAGACTTACTTTCATTAAGAAATGGGCTCTCGATTCTGATAATAACCTGTTCCCAATATTAGTTTGTGAGAATAATATGTATTTATTATTTTTAAATATTTAAGACTTACTTATTTTTATTTTATGTGTTATGTGTTGTGGTTATATTTTATTTATGCTGAAATGTGGTGATACTTTATTTGTATGTTCATAAATAAAGTTTGCCTGGAGATCAGAGGAATTACCAAGCCATTAACACAAAAGTCAGGCAGTGGTAGCACATACACTTAATTCGATCACTTGGCAGGCAGGGTCTCTGTGTGTGTTGAAGGTCACACTAGGGAAGAGAGCCAAGCGTGGTGACACACACCTTTAATCCCAGTACCAACCATAGAGACCTAAAGGTCTGTATAGACAGGCATTGACAAGGAAGTGAGGTAGCTGGGCTAAGATAGCCAATGAGAGGGCAGAACAGCAAGGCAATAAATGCACTGGTAGACAGGAAGTAGCTCTCTTTGGAAGCTATGGCATGATGAGTAAGATTAGCTGATGGCTCTCACTATTTCCCTGATCTCTAAGGCTTTCACCCCTGTATTTGGATCCATTTTTCTTATTTAATAAGACTGCTAAAAATTCAACTTACAATGTGTATTGGTGTTTTGCCTATATGGGTGCAATGACCTCAGAGGCTAGGAAAAAGGACATAGAACAGTTTGTCTGATCCCTATATAAAAACCTCACATTGGCCTTTTACTCCAGGCAAAGAGAAACACAGTAACACTGTCAGCAGCTGGAGATACCAGAACTTGCAATTGGGGCAGCCTTGGCTCTCACTTCTGCTTCCTTGGGAGGTTTATGTCATGGCTCGTATCACTGTGGGAGGGGTACTGTAATGCTGTTGACAGTAATAGGTTGCAAAATCTTCAAGCTGCAGGCTACTGATCTTGAAAGAATACTGTGTGCCAGATCCACTGCCACTGAACCTTGATGGGACCCCATCTGCCAAACTGTTAGCACCATAGATGAGGAGCTTAGGAGGTTTCCCTGGTTTCTGCTGATACCATGCTAAATATTCAAAAATGTCCTCACTTGCACGGCATGTAATGGTGACACTGTCTCCCAGAGATGTAGACAGGGAGGCTGGAGACTGGGTCATCTGGATGTCACATCTGGCTCCTGAGGTTGGAAAATAGAAAATAAATCTCCATAAAATCAATCTGTTAGATGAGGACTTTCCCAGAGACTAGGCAGCACTGACCACACTCAACTGAATAAATTTTCAATTCTGTCTTTATTACCTGTAAACCAGAGCAGCAGAAAACCCAGGAGCTGAGTAGAGGCCCTCATGTCTGTGGTGTGCCCTGTGTAAGGCTGACTCCAGTACAGGGTGTGACCTGACTATGAAGCAGTTCTCAGGACGGTGGGCTGTGCTCTGGGCAGATGCAAATTAGTGATCACTGGGCACAACCATAAGATTGGTCAAGTTAGTAACTTATTACAGGCATGTAGTCCTCTTATGTCTCAGATCAAAAAGACAGAACAGGGTTATTTGTAGGGAATGTGCTCCACTCCGAACAACAAAGAACAATACTAGTCTATGAGTTACACCTTATTTTGATTTCTGTCATGTTTAATGCAGAATTTCCTTGTTATTTTCCCCCATTGTATCATGTCAGATATGGTACTGTTCTAGAAAGTACATATATGATTATAAATTCTTCCATAGGTAGCTGAAAATGTTATTGATGTCAGGCAGCTTCTTCTGTTTTCTTTTTTTTTTCATTCACTGTTTATTTGTGAAACTGAATTTTAGTTAAAGCATTTCTCCCTTCCCTTTCTTCCTTCCAAATCCTCCCAAATACTCCTTCCCATTCTTCTTCAAATTCATGACCCTTTTTTCATAAACTGTTATTTCATTCATATTTGTACATGTATACACACACACACATGCACACACACACACACACACATATATATGTGTATATATATATATATATATATATATATATATACATATATATATTCCTAATATAGCTTGTTGATAATGTATGTTACTTGTATGTATGTTTTCAGGGCTGACATTTTTGCAATGGACAAACCATTGTGTGCTCTTCCCTGGCACATAGCCTGCTCCCAGCTTACTCAATTGTCTGTAGTTCATTTGTAGAACTGAAGCCTCCTGTTCTTTACCCATCGAGTTTAACATATTGATTTGTGTCCTTCTGTTTCAGTTCACATTTGAATGCTCATATTGGTGAGATTTTGGGTGTAGCTTCTGCTTTTACTAGAAAACACAGTCTCATAGCAAACAAGCTGGTTCTATGACTTTGTCAATATTTCTACCTCCCTCTCCCAAATGTTCCATGAGCCTTTGTTATGGGAGTGTTTTATAGAAGTATCCATTGAGACTCAACTCCACAACTCACCATGCAGCTTCTTGTTCACAATGATTTCCAGAAGAGCAATTGAATAATACTGAAAGACATGGTTTGTAAGCAAGGACAGGATCTCTTGGGGATAATCAATGTTCTTGGGTAAATACTATTGTTTTACTTATCTATGATAGCTCAGCTACTCAAGAGCTATTTCCATCAAGGCCAGACAAAGTCATGAACTCTCTTCCTGGATTCAGCTAAGATTATATCGATTCCCAATGTTTCTGTGAAGCTTCAGATTATTGCACTTGACTTATACTCCTTCTTAACATAAATTATTGTCTTTAAGAAATATGAGTTTCTATCAGAAATTATCCTTCATGTCCTTGAATGAACAATGGTTCCTAACCTTGCATATGCTACTGATTCACTGACTAACTGTGACTAAGAAACGTGCCAGCCCATTTTCACAGAAGCTGCAAGGGACTAGGAGAAATTTTTGGAACTCAAGGGAATCAGAAAATAGAAAGTTATCTTTTTCTTAGTGCTACAGTGGAAGGTAACAGTCAAAAGTCTGGTGATCTTGACTGGTATTGTATTATTTCATTACAGCAATGAAAATTGTTAAAATGAGGACAGAATTGGTTCTTTGTCCAAGAGGATGCCAAAAAATAGGTGAACAATGATTTATGTTAAATTGTAATTTGCTCAGCAAAAAAATTATGAACCAAACCTAGGACTGTTTCTTTCTGTGAATGAAAGCATTAGGAAGAATTCTGAGTAGATTTTCACACATAAATGTATGCAAGGAAACATACATATGCAGTCCAATTTTAGCTACTCAGCAGTAAGAATATATTGGGCTGAGATGCAGCTTAATCACAGACTACTTGCCTACTGTGAAAAAAAGATCCCTGGGTTACAGCCTTAGCATTGAATAGGCCTGGTGTTACACTCCTATAACTAGCTCTTGGGAATAGGAAGCAGGTTTTCCAGAAGTTCATGGTCACCATTCACTACAATTGAAGGCCATCCAGAGCTACATGAGACCTGTACTTTATCAAAAAATCTAATTTTGAAAGCAAGAAATATTGATGACAATAAATTAAACACAGTTGCAAAAGTTAATGGAGTAGAGATTATATTATTTCTGATGCAGACATTCAATACACATTTGAGTTACATCAGATAAAACTATATAGATTGGAAAAATAGCCAAGAATACAGTTAATATACCTAATATTTGGAACACCCTAAGCATATATATGATTAGATCTTATATTTGACAATACTGTGGCAAGATCATACAATTTGAAGATAACCCATATTTCAATAGCAGTTTGTTGGTTATTTCATTTAACTTAAATAATATGGTTCCTCGTGGGGTATAGAAGTTTAATGACCACCTGGATGCCTGGGTATTGCTGTTGCTGCTGCTACTACTACTGATGAAGCTTAGGGTCAAGCAAGCTCACTGACATCACAAACTACAGGAAGATGTAAGGATTTCAGATCTGAAAGAAGGATTGTATTGAACATGTAATGCTTAAAATTTTTCAATTGAATCATTGTACAGAGGAACATAGTTGTGACCTATGTATGTGAGTATGTGTAAATATGTGTGTACCTCCATATTCTAAAATTTAAGGTTATATTGCATGATGTCTCAACCTGTTCTTTTGATAGTAGGATAAAGACCCTTTTTCATAATTTGAAAGTTTTAAAACTTTCCTACATTAGTTCTTATTTGTTAGGCACACCCACTTCCAAAGTGTATCTGAAAGTTTTTCTGTGTCCTGCCTGGCCCACTGTTGGGACAAATCTCTCAACCACAGTCCTGCAGCCTTTTATAAAATAATCAGTCAGAAGCTTTTATTAATTAAAACTGCTCAGCCATTAGCTCAGGTCTACCACTGACTAGCTCTTACACTTAAACTTAGCCCATTTCCGTTAATCTATATGTTGCCACATGTTCTGTGGCTTTACCTGTGTACCATTACATGCTGCTCCCTGGGCAGAAGACTGGTGTCTCCCAACTCAGGCTTCCTCTTCCCAGAATTCTCCTTGTCTGCTTATCCTGCCTATACTTCCTCTCTGGCTACTGGCCAATCAGCGTTTTATTAAACCAGTGTACAAAAGCATTATTCCACAGCACCAAAGTGTTGTATATTTGCAAAAATTCAGTAGGGTATTATCATTAAAATTCCTAATCCCCAGAAGAGATGATAATGAAGTCTGCTTTCTTCTTTAGTTTCTTCCCCTTGGAGAAACAAACAGTCTCTGAGGAAGTACTACAATGTGACAGAGTTATTGTCCCACCCTAAATTGGAAACTTTTGTGAAAATTTGGTTTCCTATAGCTTATTCTCAAAAGCCCAACAACTTGCTCCTCAGGATCAATGCCCAGTTCAGGAAATCTGAATCACAGCTTTCAAACATTCCTCTGCATAGGATTCCAAATGGATGGGGACTCTGCTTGACTTTCTCCATCTATATATTTTCTCTTCTTCTTTGCTGGGAATGGCTTCACAAGGCTGTGGAGTAAAACTAAGATCTGTTTTCATTACAAAAATATTGGAAGATTCTGTCCCATATCACTCAAACTCTTGACCATATAGCATCTTTGGAGGGGAAAAAAGCAGGGCCGTGAGAAGCTGAAAGAATTTTTTGTTCTAGTTTGTAGAACTGTGTGAATGCGACAATGTTCTTCTATTAAAAGCAGTAAGACACAGCATCTTTGGCCTCTGTGCTGATGATTGTGAGAGAATAAGAGATCCCATACTCACTTCCAAGGAAATGAGCTATGACTACAGAAGCCAGATTAGATGTGACATAATTTAGGAGCTTAGAATTGCTCTCATCTCCTGATACCAGAGGAAGTTATCAGGAAGCCACTTGATGTGGCTCTGTATGTGATTGTAGTACTTTGAATAGGAATGACCACTATAGATTCATATATTTGAATGTTTGGCACATAGGGAGTGGCACTATTAAGAGGTGTGGCCTTGTTGGAGGAAGCATGTCACTATGGAGAAGGGCTTTGAGGTCTTAGATGTTCAAGCTAGACCTAAAATGACAGTCACTCTCCTTCTGCTGCCTGTGGATCAAGATGTAGAACTCTCAGCTCCTTTTCTAACACCTTGTCTGCTTACACACTGTCATGCTTCATACCATGACAATCATGGACTGAATCTCTGAAACTGTAAGCTAGGTCCCATTAAACATTTTCCTTTATAATCGTTGTCTTTGTCATGGTGTCCTTTCACAGAAATTGAAACCCTAACTAAGACAGTGAAAGCAACCTTCTTTCCTTGAGAAACAGTCAGGGATCTGGAGACTGGGTGAAAACAATTTATCCAAAAGATACTATGGAGAGAAAGATGAAAAAGGATAGAAGTTGGTAGAAAGCAAGATTCCAGTATACTTCCATACCACACACACACTACACAATGGAAAAGACGACAACAAAGAAGAATTAAAGGAGGAAGAGGGATGTAAGGAGAAAAGAAAGGAAATAAAGAAAAAAAGGAAGAATCAAAAGGTGCTTCTTATAAACTAAAACATCAAAGTGGAAAAGGCTGCTGAGTTTGAGCTTGGAGTCTCCCCTCTCTCTTACCCACGACACTGAGTAACAAGTTGAGAGTTTGCACTAGCAAACGTGGTGTCTGATCTTTGTTGCTGACTACAAACTTCTCTTTTCTAAGTTCATTCTCTTAAAAGCATGTTTGAGCCATCTCTGATTTCTGAGGAGTAAATAGGCCAACAGCAGGGTGTAGGCCAGGATGTTCTTAGTGAGAGGACTGGGTGGCCAAACCAGGACTCTAACAGGCTCCCTAGCAGCCCTGATATGGACCAGGCCTTAGTTTCGGTTCACTAGAACAGGCTGGAGCTAAGCAAGCAATTCTCAGGAAAACCACAACTTAGGGGCAACCAATCAACAGGTGCCTCCTAGTCTTCTCCCGGCTCATTCAAT